TTCCTGGTCTCCTTATACCCCGTTCCAAACTACATGTTGGAGCATTCAATGTACGGACATTGTGTCAAATAGGGCAACAGGCGTCATTAGCTAGGACTTTGGAATCTCGTTCCATCGATGTGTGCTGCGTCTCGGAAACGCACATACAGGATCCGAGTAGCATCACTCATTTGACCTCACCATGTCAAGATAAAGAAGTAGCTCGATTTACCCTTCGTGTATCCGGTAGCCCTGATGCTGCTTCTAGGGGCCTCGCCGGTGTCGGTATAGCATTGAGACGTAGGGCAGAACAATCTCTCCTTGACTGGATCCCTGTAGATAGTCGCTTGTGCGCCGTCCGACTGAACGGGACAGTAAGGACTCGGAAAGATAGGGACACTCGCCGTTGCCTCTTCGTCATATCAGCCTACGCCCCCACTGACTGCAGCCCAGATGATGTAAAAGATGAGTTCTACAGAAAGCTTTCGGACCTCCTCCAAAAAGTTAAGCGCTCTGATATAGTTATAATGGCTGGTGACTTCAATGCACAAGTAGGTAGACTAAGTGAAAATGAAAGACACCTAGGTGGATGTTACGGTCTCGCGGCTCAAATAACAGACAATGGCGACCGCCTGTTGCAACTGTGCTCAGATAACCAACTATTTCTAGCAAACACTAATTTTAAGCATAAGGAAAAACACCTTTTGACCTGGCGACCCCCGAAGTCGTCTCAACGTTGGACACAACTAGATCATATCGCCATCAGCCACCGATGGAGGGGTTCGATAGAGGACTGTCGCTCGTTCTGGGGCACATGTTTAGATTCAGATCATGCCCTAGTGCGAGCACGTATTTGTTTGAGGCTTGCTGGACGTAGGAAAGACACCGTAAGGAAGCCTCTTAGGGCTTTACTTGATGATAATCAAGCTAAGAAAATATTTCAGGAGGAACTAGAAAAACAGTTAGGCGATCATGCAAGTGATTCCCATCCGGAGTCAGGTTGGAATGATATAAAGAAGGCTGTGGAAACAGCAGTGATATCTGCTAGCAAGGTAAACCACAATGCTAGGATGAAGCAGTGGATTTCAGTCGCATCCACCGAACTGATGGATGCTCGAAAACGCATCCCACCGGACTCTGAACATGATGAAGAGCGTAGTCAGCTTAGGCGCAGACTTATAAAAAGCCTACGTAAAGACCGTGAACAGTGGTGGGTGGCGAAAGCAAAAGCGATGGAAAAGGCAGCGGCGATAGGCAACACTAGACAACTTTTCCGCCTTATCAAAGAAACCGGTATTAGGAACCCGAATGTAAGTGAGACTATCTCGGAAAAGGATGGTCTTATTATCCATTCTCAATCTAGGAGGCTGGACCGATGGGCAGAACACTTTAGGGATCAGTTCAACTGGCCTCCAGCCACTCTTCGGTTGCCCACGATCTCCAGTCATCTTGAATGGCAAATCGATTTAAGTCCTCCCAGTTTACATGAAGTTGAGAAAGCTATAGGAAATCTAAGGAGAGGTAGAGCGGCAGGTCCCGATAGGCTTACCCCTGAGATGTTTAAGGATGGTGGTCCAGTTTTAACGGTTAGACTGACCGAGATCCTAGGTAGAATCAGGGAAATGGACGTAATCCCATCTGACTGGTCTCAGTCGCTAATTGTCCCAATCTACAAGAAAGGACAGAAGTCCTCTTGTGACAATCACAGGGGAATAAGTTTAACTAATATAGTTTCTAAATTGTTAGCCTCGATTATACTTAGACGTCTAACTAGAGCTCGTGAAGAGCAGACTCGAGAAAACCAGGCTGGTTTTCGACCTGGACGTGGTTGTATAGACCACATCTTCACACTACCACAGGTCCTGGAACACAGACACACATTTAGACGTCCGACAATAGTCGTGTTCCTGGACCTTAAGGCGGCATTCGACTCAGTGGATCGAGAGGTTCTGTGGCAGTGTCTGTCATTGAAAGGTGTACCAAAGAAGTACATTAACCTTATACAAGCACTCTACTCGAACACCACTGGTCGGGTGAGAGCATATGGCGAACTGTCATCTGAATTCCCTACATCAAGTGGTGTCCGTCAGGGCTGCCCACTCTCTCCATTCTTGTTCAACTTTGTCATAGACATCCTCTTAGAGTTAACATTAAGCTCGTCAGCTTTTTCAGGGGTTGACCTTCTACCAGGAAAGTTGCTTACTGATCTAGAATATGCCGATGACATAGTTCTATTCGGTGAAGACGCTGACAAAATGCAGAGTCTTCTGGCTACCATAAGCAACAATGCGAGCATGTTCGGGATGCGGTTTTCCCCCTCGAAATGCAAAATGTTGCTTCAAGACTGGGTTGCTTCGGCACCTGAACTAGTGATAGGGAGTGAAGTAGTCGAGCGTGTAGATCACTTCACTTATCTGGGGAGTCTCATCAGTGCTGACGGTCTGGTGACTGACGAAATCTCAGCTCGGATACAGAAAGCTCGATTGGCTTTTGCCAACCTGCGTCACTTATGGCGTAGGCGTGATATCCGTTCGCTAACCAAAGGGCGGGTGTACTGCGCAGCAGTTCGTTCCGTTCTCTTATATGGCTGTGAAACATGGCCGTTAAGAGTAGAAGATGTTCGTAGGTTACTAGTATTCGATCACAGATGTTTAAGAAGCATTGCTCGTATATCGTGGGACAGCCGAGTAAGCAATGCTGTCGTTAGGAAACGAGTACTAGGTAAGGATGGCAGATCAATAGATGAAGTGGTGAAACTTCATCAGTTGAGGTGGTTGGGACATGTGTTACGTATGCCTAACCACCGACTGCCTCGACGAGCTATGTTTTGTGATGTAGGAGTAGGTTGGAAGAAATCTAGGGGCGGCCAGACCAAAATATGGCAGAAATCCATCAAGTCATTGACAGGTGGACTGAGTCATGTTGGTAGATGTAGACTACCTGGTTGGGGTCCGCGAGACGAAAGTCATCAATGGTTAGAGACCTTGAACGACATGGCTCAAAATCGTTTTCAATGGCGCAGGTGCATCCACTCTTTGAGCTCTCTCAAATCCTAATCTTCTGGACTCGTCAACACCTCTGACTTTGTCTTTCTAACCTTATCTCACTGAATTATATTTTTTGAATAATATCTTAAACCCTAGTCTTCTTTATTATAACATTAATACCTCTACCATCTTTATCACCATGGGATTTGATTTGACATTTGCGTCTCTGTGCTAATAATATGGTATGGCAACATGAACTTATGTACATACGTACGAAGTTCTACGTTGCAACTGACTGACTGACTGATTTTAACCTGAATTTGATTAGTCTTGGCTGACATATGGTCAGCCTATGCAGATCGCCATCCAGCTGCTACAGCCGAAATTCCAAATATATCGAAACGCACATCCTGGATTCCGCTGCTAACCACATTCTACCTACTGAATAACGTGAGAAATTCATCGAATACAATTGTCCCGTCCATTTTAATATTTTGTCATGATATCGTCAACAATATCATACGATAAAACTTAAAGAATCCATGTCTACTTTCGTGTGTATTTTTGACAAACTTTTATTTAGAGTAGAAAATGATTTATTATGTTTGATTGACAACTGGGATAATAACATTTATGCGCACCCAAATGAATCATGATTTCAAATTGTTTGTTTGTATAACACAAATAAAATTTACTTGTCAAATTAACACCACTTGTTTCTTTTGGTAATGATGTACAATCTTCATTGAAATGACACAACTAGGATAAAAATCAAGAAATCAGGCAATAATAAGGACTAAAGAAAAAATAGTAGATTTTTAAGTCAGAAGATGAAGCTTTATAGTTGCTTGCACATGTGTGTAACAGCGCTAAGATATTTTCCTAAGACCAATCAACAACTGCAGAAATGCAGTCTTAGCGCAATGGAAGAAACGATAGAAAAAACTGGCTCCGAAAATGCTATACATCAAATCCTCTCTAGGATTATTGTTGTGAGCGATAAGTTCTTTAGGGTTTGAGGCAAACACTACTCAACAAATTTGAGTAGTCTAAAGCGATTTCTACTTGAGTTCTGTACTCATGAAGTCATGAACACGTCATCCCTAGATCAGTTTTCATTTCAGGCAATCCTAAGACGTGTAGTATCCTTTGATGTGTGCGACCGGTGAAAATGACAAGTGCTCATATGCAAATCGATCAGTGTGTCATTTCTGTATGTACACATACATTATCAATGCTAACCAATGTTTTGTGCTAACTAACATAAAAATAACCAACTGTACACGTCGTCAACTAATAAATATTGTACATAAAAATTTTATTATGAATTTATCCATCTAATTAAATCATAATTAAAAAAAAAAAGAGACAATGAAAAGATATCATAAAAATCGAATCAAAGTAATAATCGGTCTAGACAAAAAGAAATTGATATATCATTAAAAAAATTGATAGCAACGCCAAGAATGACAAATATCTACACACAACATATATAGACATTATCCAGAGGAAACGCAAAGTCAGTAAGTGAGAATTCTTCGGTCATTCAGTTTTTTTCTCTTTACAATTTTACACATGTATTTTTGTTTGTACATTGTGACAGTTTCATTTATACAGTTTTACATTTTTTGTTTCGGAAAAAAAAATGAAACAAAGAAAATCAACAAAATGAAAATGTTCATTTGATACATGAAATTATTTCTGGAGAAAAAGAAACAACTATGTACATATATGCACACAGACACACTTGAGCATCTCATAACCATGGCGATGGGATCAATTTTTCAATAAATCTCGCAGTTTTAACAGCGTTCCCATGCATTCCCTATAACAGAAACAATCAACATGATTATTATTATTATTATTAGTAGTAGTAGTAGTATTGCATGTTATCAATGGAACAATATTGTTGTGTAATTAATTATATTGAGCGACTAACTAGATTGTTATGCCTAAACACTGGCTTCTATTGTAAGCTTATGATTTCTACTATGTATAATTTACAGTCTTTCCTATTATTCACAGTCGATTTTTTTCTCCTGTTTATGTAGTAATAATAATAATTATTATTATTTTTGTTATTTCATGATTCGGCGCAGTCTGATATGTCTGTAGAGAAACTACATGTTTCAAATAAGGAAATATCGCAGAGACTGGTTGAAAACTTTTGAACTCAGAGGTTGAGCACCGAAAAGAGCAGATAAATAGTGGCACCAATATGCATGCAACTATCGTTTCAAGGTTAACGGTGCAAGTTGGACGTGTAATTGACCAAGTTAGAAATACTAAGTTGTTATACAGTATTTAGCAGGCTAACTTAGAAGTACGATTGTGACCGGTGTCTTGTCACGTGATGTGGGTCAGCAACCAAATGACAATAACTGTGGTCAAAGTTATTAAGGCGGATGAGTGAAACAACAAACGGCGAAAATGAGAGGATGAGAGGATGACACAGTAGACACATTGATAGATAACCTAAATAAAGCTTGAAACAAGTTAAATTGAAGCACGAACGATCTAACCACCCAACCGTTGATCAAGCTTGGTAAGAGGTCATTTTGTGAAACTTTCTGAGATTTTAGAGAGATAAGAAGTTCATGGAGAGGCTGTCGAATAAGAAAAAAGCTCTTTAATAATAAAATAATATTTAGTCGTGAGGTTAAACTAAAATAACCAAAACTTTCTAACACTTTTAAATCTTCGATATTTTAAAAACAACCTTGGGGAGAAAGTAAGCAGTGGTACACAGAAGAAAAACTTTTTAATCTCTGATGATGATGATGATGATAATACACAGGACAATAAAATTAGATTCAATTATCGGTTGATAATTAGTTCTAGTATGCAGTTAGTTCAGTACTTTACATCCTTGATATCTATGGTACATTCATAATACAGTCAGTGAGCTGAAAGAATTTTTCTTTCAGACAGACAGATACACACAGTAAGAGGAGTAGTATGGAGAGAAATTAGCTTAGTCCATATCGTTTTACCAAGTAGTTAAAACACATAACAGAACAAAGTGATAAACAAACATATGTACATTATCAGTTCAAATGAAAATCACCAAACTTCCAAGAAAATAGAATTGACAAGACAGTATTATCTGTAATATGATGAGTTTTTCTTTTTGCTTAGATTACAATATATGGGGACGATTCGATCAAGTTCAAGATAACCAGTCTGGGATTTTGGCATCTAGCTAAAACAGTATTTCGCTGTTGTATATTGATGTTAGTTCATGATGAAAACGTTAAATTTAATTTCTTAACCCCACACCCTTCCTACACCAAATCTCTAATGTCATTCTTGAAAAAAAATTGATCACTTTTTTTCAAGCCTAATAAAAGTAGACCACTACCGTCCCAAAATCACTTTGGTGTTGCTCAATATCGAAACAGTGTAACAAATTAAACTTTAAAAACAACAAAATTCATTTCACATACCGTTCAATAATTTGCATATCCACATGACCAACACTCACATCGGAATACATTCGTATCGGTGGGATATTTTCTAATAATTGTGTTAGAAATCGTTTAATTTGACCAAGTGAATCAGTCACTTCAAATGATAATTCATTATTTTGTTTCATTGAAGGCATTGATGATGAGTGCAACCATTCACGAGGTAATAAATCAACAATAGTTTTTAATTTTTGTACAGCATCACGATAAGCTAATGAACCGAATTGATCAATTGATGATGATTGTCCAATAGGAAGCAATGAATTATTATTATTCATCAAATTAGATTTTTCATCATTTGTTTTAAATGTAACCACTGATAATAAACAAGCTAATCCAACGAGTAGATAACGATTTATTAAACAAGTTAAACTAATATGTTTTAATGTTTCAACACTGAGTAAATTTAACCAAAGTAGAATATTTTTTAAAAGCTAAATTAAATATTTTTCAAAGAAAAAGAAGAAGAAGAATAACGAAAACAAAAGTAACAAGATGAATAATAATAATAATAATAAATTAATTTGTTTAGTATAAGTGTGGCTTGATTATGAAACCGGCATTTTAGCAAACTGGAATAACTGGACGACCGTTTCGTCTTGGTATGGGACTCGTCAGCAGTACGTATTCACAACTCCGCAAGTGAAAGTCGAATCAAGGACTTTAGGCGTTGAGCGCGAATTCTTAAGAAGTCGTGCATGCATATTGCACATACTAGGACGAAATGGCCATCCAGTGCTTCAAAATTGCTAATAATGATCTAACACATTGATTGACTCATGATTTTAATGAAACTCAAATGATTATTAGCCGTGAGAATCGTTTATTCGATAGCAATTTATTCAAACTATGATGAACCACAGTAAATGTTGAGTTGGTCAGTCAGTCAGTCAGATGCAACGTAGAACTTTGTACATAAGTACATCAGTTCATGTTGCCATACCACATCAGCACAGAGAAGTAATCGTCAATTCAAATCCCATAATAGTAGAAGAGGTAGTACGGGTATTAGAAGTAATCGGAGAGGTTAGGATTAGAAGATACTATTCAAGAACTATGATTCAGTGAGAAAAGTTTAGAAAGTAAAAACTATAGGGGTTGAAGAATCCAGAAGATTAGGATTTGGGAGAACACAGAGAATAAATGCACCGGCGCCATTGCGAACGATTGTGAGCCATGTCATCCAGGGTCTCTAACCATCGATTATTATCATCTCGCGGACCCCAACCAGGTAGTCGACAATTACCGACATGGCTCAGTCCACTAGTCAATGACTTCATGGATTTCTTTCATGTTTTGGTTTGGCCGCCCCTAGCTTTCTTCCAACCTATTCCTACACTACAAAACAAGGCTCGACGAGGCAGTCGGTGGTTGGGCATACGCAACACATGTCCCAACCACCTCAACTGGTGAAGTTGCAATACTTCATCGATTGATCGCACATCAAAATTGACTAGTTTAAATACATATGGCTATAATAAAATGAACTGAATTGAATTTCAATATTTATTTGATGAAGTTACTGCTGAGAATTGTTATGGTGCCAAACCTGAGTACTTGTGTAGGAATAGGTTGAATGAAATCTATGCGAGACCAAACGAAATTGTGGAATCAATCCCTATAGCCAGTGAATATTAGACTGAGCCTTGATGATGTAGAAGCCAACCACCTGGTTTATATCAATATAATAACCTTGACCATCAGATGAAAACCTTAGTTGACGTGGCTCAGAATTACCCACAATGGTACAGATGCCTGCTTCCCTTCGTGAAAGAGCCTAGCTGGCCGAGCAGGATCGTTATATAGCCAGTAATTAATATCATACTGTTCACTTACTTAGTACTGATCAATTTGTGATATTGACCACTAGCTAAAATATTTTGCACTAGTTGTCTTTTGTCAGTAAAGTAATCTTAAGGAAAGTGATGACCCCCTACTTTTTGTGAGTGATTTAAAACCACATTACCTACTGTAGTGATCTTAACTAGTTGTGTATAGCTTTGATGATCAATAACTAACCTTGTAGTAGCCAAGGTTTTACACAATATATTTTTGCACAGAGACTAGTAGCAGAAACAAAGATACATGCTATTGAAATGTACCATACGGTGAAAAAACAGCAGCCCAGTTTTCGCTGCTTTCCCATGGGTTCTATAACCAAAGTGAGGCCTCAATGCAGACTTCCAGATGAATGAAAAGTTTAACATTATATCTATCGTGGTGACTATGGATCATTTTAAAAGTTCCTGAATAATCTTAAAACAGAAAATAATTAAATATATAGTGAACGATTATAAAAATAAGCAACAAAAAGAGTCTCACTTTTAATCCCATGTTGAACTGACGTTCAAAAAATACGAAAGCTGGACTTTGACGATTTTGCATCAAACTGTAAAAAAACACAAGGCAAAGGAAAACTGAAATAACTTTGAGCAACATGAAATCTAACAACAAACTACAGCAGGCGTTTTAAACAGCTGATTACAGATACCCTACTCTTCAATATACAGAGATAGTTAAATGATTAGGGAGTTCGACTTTCAGCCATTGAGTACCGGGTTTAAATCTCACTTCACGGATCTAGGTATTGGTAATAGAGTAGTAACACTAGCTTTTACACCTAGAGTGTAACTCATGCCTGGTAGGTGAGCTAACTGAACATAGTATTCATACATCTCTACAAACGAGAAGTTATTTTGATTAACCGATTTGGTGTGTATATACTTTGTCCCTAGTAAAGAGCTTCGTTTATCAAAGAACGTATTACGGCTGTGTCTAAAACAAATTAGGTGGACTGGTTTTCGAATACGCAACTAACTGAATACTAAGTGTTTCGAATAATTGAACTACACAATTGTAAAAGTTTCGAAAATAACTATTTCATTGCTGAAACATAAATATTTTCACACTAAAAGTAATTGATCTTAGCTAAACCACCATTAAAAACTTGGAAGCACTGGATGGTCGGTTCCTAGTATGAGAACCAGTCGCAATGCATATCCACGACCTCGCGAGCAGGCATGAAATCCAGGACCTTCTGTCTCGTGTGTGACCTTGACCTCTAGACTGGTATGTCTAACTTTAATCAATCCATGATGTTGGACAATTTTCATCTATTGCCTGTGGTGGGTAAGTGTTTTTTTATACCTGACACAAATTGAACTCCATGAGTTACATTTTGCAACGAGTCACAACTGAGCTATATGACTGTTATTACTAAAGGGTATTTATAGTGGTTGTATTAATGTCACACTTGAAATCACGGCAATCCAGCAGAGTTCTGGGCATTTAATAATTGTGGTTTCGCTAAGATCAGTTTGTGATTTCAACGGTGAAAATAATACAATCTGCACAAAGTGGGACCAATTTGGAATCAACGAGTACGAATTACTGGTTAATTGAGAACTTTTCAATTTCTACATAAATGACAAGAACCAGTCACAATTAAATGACTTTCCTTTCTATTACATTTTATCACAAGTGTTTATTTCGTGAATTTATTTGTTTACAATTATATATATATTTATTTATTTATGCATATATTATATTAATACATAAGAAGAGCGCGCGCGCAAGAGAGAGAGAGAATTTGTTTGAAATCACGTCTCTTCAAATGTGTGATTTATCAGGAAAAATAAAAGAAGAAAGAGAAGATTTCTTGCATGTAGTTGTTCTAATTAACAAACACTGGAACTTCTTTGAATATGAAGGAATGGAAAAGAGCAAAACACAACAACGACAACACATGCATATATAATTGGCCTTGTTACTAGTCATATTCGACAATGGTGTGTATACACATTACAAGAACAACAACAACAACAACTACTACTACTACTACTATTACTGTTTATACACTACAAAAGAGATTATGATGAATATGATTCATGTGAATAAAGTAGATGGAGAAAAAAATTTCAGTGAACAATTGATGAACAAGTAAATTAATTTTATGCACGAAAGGAAACATGCACAGATATATTCATGATACGCATGCATGCATGCATGCACACACACACACACTGATACACACACTCAGTGAACAGAGAAAAATGGAAAAAAAAGAAGTCAGAAGAATATCAACAACACTGAGAATTCATTTGATAAGTTTAACTAATTGTGATATAATTCAGTGGAACCATGAAAGAACTGTATTATAAACTGGAACAGTGACAGATACAATGCAGAACTTCGTACATGAGTACATCAGTTCAGGTTGCCATACCACATCAGCGCAGAGACGAAACTGTCAGTTCATAAACTGGTCCATCATTCAGTCATTGATTGATGAACGATCACGACAGTTGCATATAGTTATATAGTTAACATTAGTCAATTCTGATTAGTGTAGGACAATGGAAACATGTACATTGAGTTCAATTGTGTCACAAAAACAGAGGAATAAACACAGTAGAGAAAGGATTCAATAACAAACAAGTCAAGATAATAGTAATAATAATAACAATACATGCTGATTAAAATCACTTACGTTTTTGAATAAAGCGGTATGAAAATATCTTCTTGTATGGTATTTTCAATACGTTTAACAATAGTTGTGAATAAATTCTCTGTCAGACGACTACCAATACAAATTGTTGGATAAGTTGAGCATAAATTTTGCATTAAATTGACAAGTTGTAAAGATTGTTTCTCTGATAAAGGATCCCATGAAGCATTAACTAGTTCTATGAAGGCAAAAATAACAATTCACAATTTATACTGTACAAGAATTAATAAATTTAAGACAAAACGTCGAACGCAGCTTCCATCTTGACATGATGGTCGGGCTTGTCTATCGAGATGACTCGACTGAGCTATATTGGCTGAAATATATAAATCTTTAAGTCCTCTACCATGCCAGGTAGATAGGTCTGAGAACGGTAAGACTAAAAGCAGCAACTCAAGGTCTGAGGGCAAAAGCGCACCGCTGATAGAAGAGATGAGTGATATCAGTAAGGTGTTCCCCTCGAACAACCGGTATCAATAGGGATAGTGCTTTGTCAACCCTAAAAAAGTCACAGACCATATTATCCCATGGATTTTCATCTCCAGCGGTAAGGTCTTTTGAGGAACGCAGCAAACATTAAAAATTACCATAACAGGGCTATGCGCGACCAGCCCCAAGCAGTTATACATTGAACTGTGCAGTCAAGTTCCTAGATTACTATAACCAATACTAACCCAGGTTACATCTGTGCTTGTAAACGATAGGAGCTGACTGTTATTTCTTAGTTTATCAACTCCAAGGTAAGTTTTTATTATAAATCACTGTGAAACCATACATATATATTTCAAAGCTGATAATCTCTGGAGTGTAACTTATTCCAGTGAAACTAATGATCAATGGAAATATTGCCACATCTAGGAAGTGGCATGAAATTTACACATCTTCGAAAAAAGTTAATCATCTCTAACAACATTGTAGCTATTCTGATGAGTTAACTGTTATTTTACTCCTGAAATACACACTGTCTGATGACTGAATGAGATTATTATGGATCATTATGAGTAGTTAATAACTACTTATACGAATAGCATGTACATGACGTTTCTAATTGGACCGATATGCAGGATCAAGTTAGATTGCATCGATTGCTCACCAACTAACTTGTAAGAGCCTATGTGATAATTGTGACCAATGTTTTCTAAACTTTCAGTGGCAAAACTCAAAATTAATGGCAGAGACGTAGATTCATTCTTTTACGTATTCTCATATATTTAGAATTACTTCACACATTATTTTTTGAATTAATTAGTTCTTTTCGAACCATATCCTCAATGTCTAGTCATCTGCTGAATATCATTAATAAAGAATGTACGTTGTGCTAATGTTATGTGTATGAGAACTGAACTAGATGAATAACTGTGCTTGGTTCTAAATTGGTGATAATTGATGAATAAAAGATTTAAGTGGAGAAAACTTGCAACTCTGAAGAATGTTCAAGACAGGAGCAACAAATAAGACCAGAAACGTTTTTTTAGAAAACTGAACATTCAGGTTACTTAGCAATTGAAATCATGAATCCATCATTGTTAATAAACAATGAAAAACAACAATCTTCATTGTGCTATAATGAATCTCATACAATGTACTCACTAGTGACTAGCTGCGTGAGGAAGTTTCTCAGATTTCTAGTGAGAAGCCTTGATCAGTGGAATTCAACACTGTCGGGTGTAGGCAGTTATCTACCGAAGGCGATGGGTGAGGATGCATAATAGAAGGGATTTATTAGAGTCAGACGTTAACACCGTTGGATGGCGCCGGCTATGTGGTGTAGAGGTTAAACGTTCGAGCACAGCAACGAAGGTCATGAGTTTGAGTCCTGCGAGCGGAGGTTGTGGATGCACACTTCTGATACTATAGGACGAAACGGGCTTTCAGTGCTTCCAAGTTTCTAATGGAGGTCTAACAATGATGGACTCATGATTTCAATGAAAAATAATCAATCAGTCAATAAAATTTAATGTCAACAAAAGTAACTATTCGTCACTTTTTGAAAGGCTTTAACAACTTATTTACTAAGCTAGTGTTAATGATGCTGTCTAACAAGACAATGAAATGAAAACGAGGTCAAATCAAAACAAATTGATGGTAGAAGGCTGGTACCATAGAACAACCCAAATGGAGAAGCGGCATTCAAACCTGTGTGGCTTCATAACAAGCAACCGAAAGCTTTAGTCACTGAACGAACTGACTCTATCATTCAATCAATGTTATAATAACACAAGAAATATACATACATATATATATAATACGTAAAATAATTTACCATTCAATCGTTGTAAAACAATTTTTTCAATTGATTTCGGTATAATTCGAAGATCATCATCAGAGTTAATAGTTGTTTTATCTGAGAAGTCATGATTATTATTACTATTATTGTCATGACTGGTATTCTTATTTTCATCAGTATTGTTCTGTTTATTGATTGTTTGATTACTATTTGAATTAGTTGACTTTGAATTATTGTCATTTAATGGAAGATTACAAAAATCTAACAAATCTTGAAACCATTTCATTTCTTCAATTGGATTAGCATGATTCTAAAATTCAAACCAACCCAACCAGACAACAACAGAAAAAACAATGACATTGAAAAAGAGTTCAACAATTAAAAAACGAAAAATGTTTCTTCTCAATAAGCAACAAATAAGGTCCACATAATACGAAGGATCAGTCGATACATCCCCTTATCCTAGTGTGCTATCTTATGTCAGTAGCATTTAACTTATTACCACAAATCATCGTTCGTAATTTCTTGTAAGCGTGCTCAAAATAGGAATAAGGGCTAGTGATAGGGTGGAAAGTGGCAAAACGAAATGAGAATATTCGGGAAAGTGCCACGAGCAGGCTAATCGATACCTTGTTGGTCAGGTACGATTATCCAATGCTTTTCTCAGGTATGAAGTGTCTTCTCACCTGCCTCTTGAAGAATTACGAAACTCAAAAGTAATAAATAGTCTATCTAAATCATAATTAAGGACTCCACTTTTTCAGTGTTTTCACTAAATAGAGCTATGTCATCGGCATATTCTAAGTCAACAAGTAAATCTCCTGGCATAAACTCAACTCTTGAAAAGTCAGACGATGAAAGTGTTATCTTAAAAAAGCATATCGATCATTAAATTGGATAAGAATGGAGAAAGTGGACAATCCTGATTAACACCACATGCAGTAATCACTCCCGCTGACAACTCTGATTCGATCGGTACTGTCTAGTTAGGAAGCCTTTACAAGAATAACTACAAATAAGAGAGCCAAATGCCAAATTAAGGTTAAGGAATATAACTATCGTCCCCATATTCGAGCTTAGATCTCACTTAATTGAGTTGCTAAAATTGTACGATCATCACAGTAAATTTAAAGACAAAAGAATATTTTTTTTTAACTTACACTTAAAGGATTCCAACCAATCAATTGAATACGTATTATAGGACTGAATAATTGTGGTAAACACAATGATATATAAGCTTGTTGATATGATTCCGGATATTTATTACGCCATTCAATGAATCTTTCAAGAATTAAAGGTAATTCACAAAATTCTTCAACAACATCTTCAAATAATGCATTTGCATCAACTAGTAAAGCATCTGTAAATATAAATGTGTAATTGCTTTTTTATTTTTGTTTTTTTGTAAAGAAAACAGGAAAACATTGAAATGATTTAAAAATAATAATTTTTGTCAGTGCGCAAGATTGCGAAGAATATTGGATTGCCGCTTGTAGGGTCGTAAATGTGCACTGCTAACGAACCCCAATAGTAACACACACAACAGCCATATATATTCGTATAAAAAGATTATTTGTTAAGTTTATGTGTTTGACCAGACTATTCAAAACGTATGACACAAACACAATACATTTTTAAGATCAACTGTCTTCTCATTGTTTTATCACATAATTTATAGAAGGGATTAATTGCCTTAGATTAAAGAACAGTCTAACTGTACAAATGATCAGTAATCCGTGAAGTAGTGAAGAGGAAGACTGTCATGTTGTTGAAGTATTTTTACATGATCATCAAAAACAATAGTTGGGGGTATCATATGGATTTCAGTTGATCACTACTACTATGTCGATCTCGCGATACTGAGTTCTTAATTCATATTATACTTACTTAGTTTTCGATTTGACAATGTATTCATTCACTCTATAAATCATATTTCATATATGCCTGATTACGTCTTTACTACGACGACTTTCACCGTTATTGTTATTGATCTTGATAATTTCATTTCACTGTGTTGATGTGGTGAGATATCATCTTACAACAATGCACTAATTGGTCAAGTTCGGAGCTGTTCATAAATGACTGTTACCAAATAGAACAATATTGTTTTCGATTAGATCGTCATCAGGCATTAGTCTCTAATATACATGAATATTTATATGAAAATGTTAAACCAATCAAGGCAATTTATGAGTCAGTAATCACAATGAAATGAAATAGATTACGGCACTACGCACATAATAGGCAAAAGTACTAGTTGATAGTAGGAAGACAGGTGTACTGATAAAATACGATAATAAAAGTTTTATCAATATTGGGTCAAACTTGGATAAAATAGACTCAAAAATAATCATTACAAAACATTAAAACCATTAAGTAATAAGAAGTGTCTAAATAATTAGATAGTGAAGAATATAAGCGGAAAGCGGTAGAAAATTACCAACAAATAGAAGATCTGAAAATAATGCTAATAGAATTATACTAACCAATATCTGCTGAGCGTTTAACAATTATAGCCTGTGGTTCTTCATCATCCGTACTAGTTCCATCAATGTGAACTTGAGTGTTAGCAGGATTTTGTAATTCACGAGCACGTTGACGTCGTATTCTATTCGAATGAGATAAACAAGCGGTATAAAAACGTAAGTATACTTAAAGCGAAGGGAATAGCTGTTTTAGTTTAATTCTTATTTTTCACCTGCTTCTTCAATCGGTTACCGGTTAAAGTATAATAAACTGAGTCTTAAGTTAAACAGTCAGAATCAAAAAAGCGCCCTATATATATTTTGGAGGAAAGTAACAGTTCACTGATCGAAAACTTGCATGTTGTTACTAACGAAGTAAACATTAGCAATATTTGATCTTTAAAACATTTGAAAGCGAAAAATTCCTATTAGGCAAGCAAAAAGTGAATTTGGGATGGTGCTTAAGCTAAATTACAAAACATACCTGCTCCAAAGGAAGATTTTGTATTATAGTACTTGATATAATTGACTGTGTAGTCTATAGAGTTCAATGATTCTAAATAGCATTCTACTCTAACCGTTAGTCTAAATCTCAACATTAAATTTCTTAAGTTTCTAAACGGAATAGTGACAGAATATTACATCACTTCTGATGTTATTTTGTTATAAAAATCCTAACCCTACTTTATTGATCCAACTTCGAACTACAGATTACATCTGAATACCTAATTCTAACGTTTCAGCAATATAACTGGTGTCAACTGGTGACGAAAACTCAACCGAGTGACAACTTAAACTTACAACAATTTCATTGTTGTTTCATTGCTCTGTGCAATTAATTGCTTTATAATTAAACAGTATTTCCTCATTTTCTGATAGATCGATCAAGGTCATCAGTATATTATACTTTTACGTGGTTTCCTTATCGATCCTATTTCCCGAGTCAGTCAGTCAGTTGCAACGTAGAACTTCGTACGTATGTACATAAGTTCATGTTGCCATACCACATTATTAGCACAGAGATGCAAATGTCAAATCAAATCCCATAGTGATAAAGATAGTAGAGGTATTAATGTTATAATAAAGAAGACTAGGGTTTGAAGATATTATTCAAAAAATACAATTCAGTGAGATAAGGTTAGAAGGACAAAGGTAGAGGTGCTGGCTAATCCAGAACATTAGGATTTGAGAGAGCTCAAAGAGTGGATGCACCTGCGCCATTGAAAACGATTTTGAGCCATGTCGTTCAAGGTCTCTAACCATTGATGACTTTCGTCTCGCGGACCCCAACCAGGTAGTCTACATCTACCAACATGACTCAGTCCACCTGTCAATGACTTGATGGATTTCTGCCATATTTTGGTCTGGCCGCCCCTAGATTTCTTCCAACCTACTCCTACATCACAAAACATAGCTCGTCGAGGCAGTCGGTGGTTAGGCATACGTAACACATGTCCCAACCACCTCAACTGATGAAGTTTCACCACTTCATCTATTGATCTGCCATCCTTACCTAGTACTCGTTTCCTAACGACAGCATTGCTTACTCGGCTGTCCCACGATATACGAGCAATGCTTCTTAAACATCTGTGATCGAATACTAGTAACCTACGAACATCTTCTACTCTTAACGGCCATGTTTCACAGCCATATAAGAGAACGGAACGAACTGCTGCGCAGTACACCCGCCCTTTGGTTAGCGAACGGATATCACGCCTACGCCATAAGTGACGCAGGTTGGCAAAAGCCAATCGAGCTTTCTGTATCCGAGCTGAGATTTCGTCAGTCACCAGACCGTCAGCACTGATGAGACTCCCCAGATAAGTGAAGTGATCTACACGCTCGACTACTTCACTCCCTATCACTAGTTCAGGTGCCGAAGCAACCCAGTCTTGAAGCAACATTTTGCATTTCGAGGGGGAAAACCGCATCCCGAACATGCTCGCATTGTTGCTTATGGTAGCCAGAAGACTCTGCATTTTGTCAGCGTCTTCACCGAATAGAACTATGTCATCGGCATATTCTAGATCAGTAAGCAACTTTCCTGGTAGAAGGTCAACCCCTGAAAAAGCTGACGAGCTTAATGTTAACTCTAAGAGGATGTCTATGACAAAGTTGAACAAGAATGGAGAGAGTGGGCAGCCCTGACGGACACCACTTGATGTAGGGAATTCAGATGACAGTTCGCCATATGCTCTCACCCGACCAGTGGTGTTCGAGTAGAGTGCTTGTATAAGGTTAATGTACTTCTTTGGTACACCTTTCAATGACAGACACTGCCACAGAACCTCTCGATCCACTGAGTCGAATGCCGCCTTAAGGTCCAGGAACACGACTATTGTCGGACGTCTAAATGTGTGTCTGTGTTCCAGGACCTGTGGTAGTGTGAAGATGTGGTCTATACAACCACGTCCAGGTCGAAAACCAGCCTGGTTTTCTCGAGTCTGCTCTTCACGAGCTCTAGTTAGACGTCTAAGTATAATCGAGGCTAACAATTTAGAAACTATATTAGTTAAACTTATTCCCCTGTGATTGTCACAAGAGGACTTCTGTCCTTTCTTGTAGATTGGGACAATTAGCGACTGAGACCAGTCAGATGGGATTACGTCCATTTCCCTGATTCTACCTAGGATCTCGGTCAGTCTAACCGTTAAAACTGGACCACCATCCTTAAACATCTCAGGGGTAAGCCTATCGGGACCTGCCGCTCTACCTCTCCTTAGATTTCCTATAGCTTTCTCAACTTCATGTAAACTGGGAGGACTTAAATCGATTTGCCATTCAAGATGACTGGAGATCGTGGGCAACCGAAGAGTGGCTGGAGGCCAGTTGAACTGATCCCTAAAGTGTTCTGCCCATCGGTCCAGCCTCCTAGATTGAGAATGGATAATAAGACCATCCTTTTCCGAGATAGTCTCACTTACATTCGGGTTCCTAATACCGGTTTCTTTGATAAGGCGGAAAAGTTGTCTAGTGTTGCCTATCGCCGCTGCCTTTTCCATCGCTTTTGCTTTCGCCACCCACCACTGTTCACGGTCTTTACGTAGGCTTTTTATAAGTCTGCGCCTAAGCTGACTACGCTCTTCATCATGTTCAGAGTCCGGTGGGATGCGTTTTCGAGCATCCATCAGTTCGGTGGATGCGACTGAAATCCACTGCTTCATCCTAGCATTGTGGTTTACCTTGCTAGCAGATACCATTGCTGTTTCCACAGCCTTCTTGATATGATTCCAACCTGCTTCAGGATGGAAATCACTTGAATGGCCGCCTAACTGTTTTTCTAGTTCCTCCTGAAATATTTTCTTAGCTTGATTATCATCAAGTAAAGCCCTAAGAGGCTTCCTTACGGTGTCTTTCCTACGTCCAGCAAGCCTCGAACAAATACGTGCTCGCACTAGGGCATGATCTGAATCTAAACATGTGCCCCAGAACGAGCGACAGTCCTCTATCGAACCCCTCCATCGGTGGCTGATGGCGATATGATCTAGTTGTGTCCAACGTTGAGACGACTTCGGGGGTCGCCAGGTCAAAAGGTGTTTTTCCTTATGCTTAAAATTAGTGTTTGCTAGAAATAGTTGGTTATCTGAGCACAGTTGCAACAGACGGTCGCCATTGTCTGTTATTTGAGCCGCGAGACCGTAACATCCACCTAGGTGTCTTTCATTTTCACTTAGTCTACCTACTTGTGCATTGAAGTCACCAGCCATTATAACTATATCAGAGCGCTTAACTTTTTGGAGGAGGTCCGAAAGCTTTCTGTAAAACTCATCTTTTACATCATCTGGGCTGCAGTCAGTGGGGGCGTAGGCTGATATGACGAAGAGGCAACGGCGAGTGTCCCTATCTTTCCGAGTCCTTACTGTCCCGTTCAGTCGGACGGCGCACAAGCGACTATCTACAGGGATCCAGTCAAGGAGAGATTGTTCTGCCCTACGACTCAATGCTATACCTACACCGGCGAGGCCCCTAGAAGCAGCATCAGGGCTACCGGATACACGAAGGGTAAATCGAGCTGCTTCTTTATCTTGACATGGTGAGGTCAAATGAGTGATGCTACTCGGATCCTGTATGCGCGTTTCCGAGACGCAGCACACATCGATGGAACGAGATTCTAAAGTCCTAGCTAATGATGCCTGTTGCCCTATTTGACACAATGTCCGTACATTGAATGCTCCAACATGTAGTTTGGAACGGGGTTTAAGGAGACCAGGAACGACGTTTCGCAAACTCGCATCGTTTGCATTAGCTGTGCACTGTAATAAATGAATGTGAGAAGAGTTAGTTGTGGAGGTAAGAGAGGTATTAGGGAATGTGGGAAGGATTTGATTTTGAACAATTTTGTCTCGTGTGCTGTTGCGGGTATGAGGGCGGTTATCACTTCCCGGCTGCCCACACCGTGGAAGGTTGTTTCTTGACGAACCTGAAAAGGAAGATGGATTAGTGTTGGTGCGTGACCGCAGAGTCCAAGGGACAACTGCTTCAGGCCGGTCACGCACGGCCTTTTTATGAGAGGTATTTAGAGGATTAGCTCCGTTCTTAAAGGCCCAGTGGGCACCCTTACCCAAGGAGACGGAAATCCGTGAGGTAGGGGAGGTGTGACATTACTAGGGTCGACCTTTTCTAACCCTTCCTTCCTTGTGAGAAGGCAGCATCGCTGCAGATGCTGGTTGTCCGAGGGAAACACATTACTGCTGTCACACCCCTCTGCAGTCAGCAGTACGACTTCGCCCTCAGACCTTGGGTAGCTGCTTTTAGTCTCATCGTTCTCCAATCGACCTGCCTGGCATGGTAGGACCTGCAGGAACATGTGTTCCAGCCAGTATAGCTCGGTTGGGTCATCACGATAGGCAAGCCCGACCACCACGTCAAGGTAGCAGCTTCGGTCGGGCTATTTCCCGAGGTTAACTAAGAGTTACACTCACAGATCAGCTGTACAGTATGATTGTCTTTTGTCCCGAAAACAAAATTTTTTTCAAAGAGGAAGAGTCCTTCAATGTTTACTACATTAGTGAATAAAGAATGGTAGAAATGTTGTCGTATATCGTTAGTTTACAACATGTTTATATGATTTATGTAGATATAATCTGAAGATCTCTACCGCAATAATTATAGACTATATGCCAAATTGTTTTACAATGGGTATAAAATCCTGGGCAAAACGAAAAATATGAGTTATCGTATAATTTTTTCAACGCTTATCAAATATTCTCACCGTCGGGATTCTCGTTCAGCGCATCTTTTACGCCTAGCTTCGAACAATTTCACTTCTTCAGGTGTTCTAGAAGCACCAGTAGTAGATATGGTTGCTAAATGGAAAATTAAATAAAAGCTAACATTCAAGACAAAACGAAAGACAATATTTTATTTCTGAATCTATTAAACGAAAAATCAACATTTTAAAAAGTGCGAACAAGCTATTCAGGAGTTTTTAAAACTCAGAATATTTAAGATAGACTGTTAAGACTGCTGAAAATTTATATGTACAAAAACGTAACCGAAATACTGACTGTGATAGCTTATTCATATGTTACAGATGTTATCCTAACAGCTTGTGATGTAATGTAGTCTCTGTGTAGTGAGTATCCAATCCAATGGTACTATAAATTCGGTTGTCCAGACCAGTTTATTTGTAGTAAAACTGAGGACAAAACTATCTAAACCTCCCCCCATCATATAAAATATATATGATGTAAACAATTATACAACGATATAGCCCATATTAAACAGGTTAAAGTAACTTACGCTGTGATACTGCATCAGCCATATCTTTCATATCCATGCGTCGACGCTCGACTAATTTGTCATAACGTTCACGAAATATTATAATAGAACGTTTCTCCAGATATTCTATTTTTGGCATCTGTTAAAAAATGTTTAGAAAAGAATGGTTAAAATAGAACAGTTTATGAGTACAATTATATTCCTGTTAATGACCACTTTGGTAGTGGTAGTTCCCCAGAGTTATAATGAGTAACGAGTAGACGTGATCAGTCAAGTCCAACCATGTAGTGTGGGACAGTTACCTATCAAAGTCTTTGAAAGAGGGTTTTACAATATCATAAATTGATTGAATTCATTTGTAGACTATTGGACCAGAACTTAGTGGTCTGAAAGTTAAGCATTTGCTAAAAGATCTGAACTTCTTGGATGTGAGGCTAGGTAAAGTCGCAGGTGCCTAGTTGCCGAGGAGATTAACGCTACCATGGAACAGCTGTTTAGTGTTTTCCACCTTACCAATGGTGTTATACAACTTATAAAGGTCGGTTTCTGATGCGAACTACAACAAACATTCTATAAGGCCGATATAAATAAAACTACATAGAAACTGCTAATTAAATGATCATAGTATGACAGTCCAGATAGTTTACAAACAACACAGAACTTGCTACAAATGTAAAACAACTGAGACTGCTACACCACACATCCGCATAATGAGAAAAATACGAAAGTTAATATCTATTGAATTGAAAGGTTAAACATAAGAGAATGAGACTGAGAAATATACAACATGGAAGATAAAGAATGAATATAACTGTGCCACTTCAATTGGTTCCAGACTACACAGACTGACTACATATCAGTTAGCGCGTGTGCTAAAAACTAGAAATCTACAGAGTTCCGTATAATAGCTGATGATTTCATAAAAAATAGAGATTTTAAAGCGTTGCTTTTAATATTTAGCCAGTCAGAATATGTACGAAACATAACGTAGTAAGCTCAAAGCAGACAAACGTTCATAGTATTATAAAACGATTTGGAATGACCAACAAACTGAGTCAGATTAAAAAACTCAGAATCATTCATGCAATCGTTTGACTGTTCATGTCAACTGAATGAAATGGATTGAGATCATAGTTTGAAAATGTTTAGGTTTTACGTGATTATGATAAAGTTTTGGTTATTCATTGGAAGTAGTTAGCTCATGTGTATCAATAACATTTTATTCTGCAACTAAGAATGGCTGTTCAGACTTAATAAGCAAATGAAATACCGTTTTAAGACAATGAACTATGTGATACGTATTAGCGCAATACATTTCGAATAATCTGACCACACATGTACTTATTAAGAACATTTATATATATAAAAATTAAAGGTCATCTAGACAGTTCTGATAGTCTTCGTTTTCTCATTGCACTATCGAAATTTACCAAAGGGATTAACTGCTTGAAACTATTTTAAAACATAAAAAGACAATAAGTATATCATGTAATTCTGAAAGTTGCTACCGACTGGAACAGCTGATACTTGGAAGGGAATAAAAGACATGAACAGATTTCTTATCATAACACAAGAAATCAACTAATGAGAATATATGTACGTCAACAAACTATTAATAGCTAAACTACTGATTTTAAATTGTTAAGTCTTTTATAAATATGGAATAAAGCCTTTAGCACTAGAACTAGTAGAAACGCCGCCTTCTCGTGGAAAATAAAAAGGTAGCAGAAAACAGAAGTATTTTTCCTCCCGTAGGCATCAAAATGTACAAGAAAACTATGTGTGTATCTACAGTTTTTGGTATAGACTGCAAACAACGACGTTACACAATTGTCTAATCCATTGGTCAGGGCTTCTTACCACAACTTCAGACTTTCAGTGATAGTCTAACATGGATCGGTTCATGATCTCCAAGAAATACCCTAACCTACATATCATTCAGTATGGACGACAAAAAGTAATAACAACACCAACTTACCTTTTCATTAAAACAAGATATTAAATCATCAATATAATCTTTCATTTCTTGATAGAACATAAATTGTCTTGCTAAATTAGGAAGTTTTTCACGAGCAACTCCGATTATTACTTTACCCCGTTCTAAATCACGTTTAGCCTCTTCTAATGATGTCTTGTGCTTGGTTAATGATTCATTCAATCTGTTGTACCTGATAATAATAATAATAATAATAATAATAATAATAATAATAAACAGTTAAATAGTAGGATATTTTCTTATCAAGGAGTACTGATCCTAAACAATTGCATGATAACAATGAACAATTAAATCATACGATTGAGTTTTCCTTAAATTGCATGTTATTCAACATACTGATTGATCAATGCAGTAAGCAAGTGTCAGTATATAAAAACAATCAATGAAGTGATAGAATTCCATTCTGTCGGTTAATCAATTGATGATGACTTTTTTAACAAAAGATTAACAAAATGCAGTTACTCATAAAGCACATATTAAATCGAGGAACATTTTTAGAAATTAAAAACATGACTATTGATACATCCACTCAGATTACGATTCAAAGAAATAATTTAACAAGTGTAATCCAGTGAAATAACTTTAAAAAGAGAAAAGTTATGATGAATTTGGAAGACTAGAATTTGAGAGAAGCCAAAGAATTGATGCACCAGCGCCATTGAAAACGGTTTTGAACCATGTCATTCACGGTCTCTAACCATAAATTATTATAATCTCGTGGACCTCAAACTTGGTAGTCTACACCGACTAACATGGCTCACTCTAGTTGTCAGTGACTTCATGGATTTGTTCCATGTTTTGGTTTGGCCGCACCTAGCTTTCTTCCAGCCTACTCCTACACCACAAAACATTGCTCGACGAAATGACAAAGGAATGAAAGAAGAGTTAGTCGTGGAGATAAGAGAGTTATTAAGAGGTTTAGGAAGGAACTGATTATGACCAGTTTGATCTCGTGTGCTGTTACGGGTATGAGGGCGGAAATCACTTCCCAGCTGCCCCCATCGTCGAAATAACTATTGGTACAAATGGGCAACGAAATATTAATGTGACACAAATCGTGAATTTACCTAGTTACCCTAGCCGAAACAGGTGGTTCCCGTAGGGAATCACGACCCGAGCCTTTAACCAAGAGAATTAATGCTTATCAGGGTTTCCCAAGTGAAGATTAGTACAATAAATATATACTCTTTGTCTATGGTAGGATGTTAACTATCAAAAATATATATTCATAGTAATTTTTGATTTAAAAAAATATATCATACACTATTCTGGCATTGAAATTATCAACTGTTTATTGTTATTTGATAAACATACTTTTCTTCTAAACTATTTTTTAATTTTGGTAATGTTATGTCGGCAACATTTAGTCCACTAAGTATAGTACTATCTGTAAGTGTTGTAGTGTTCATAGAATCTTCAGTGTTGAGAATTGGTTGAATAGCTTCTAAAACAGCAGAATTCTAAAGAAAAATTGAAATAAAACGAGAATAAAAAGACTAAGAACTATTCATTAGATTTTTAAATAATAGGCCAAACCATACTATACTATAAGACCGATAAGATTTGAAATAGAGACTTCTAGAATTACTTTGAAAATGTAAAATGTAGTGATAGATGTGCTGCACCTGGTTAGGAGTATGCCACCCAATGCCCTGATTCCGGGACCCTGAGAGGACAAATGGAGTATGAAGCGGCTACCGTTACACTGAATCTCATGACGTTGCTCAACCGGAGTGGACTTTTAGGTCAGAGGCTCGGGCTGTTGCCTCCTAAGAAAACCAACCGGTCCGGTTTGGATGTTCAGGAAGCATCTCAGCCCACCCAGAAATTCATTATTTGTGTGGCACATAAATATTTACCCGCCCTTTTGTACTAATGTTTATATGTTTAAATAATTAAACAAGTTAAAAATGAAGTAATAACTAATCTCAAAAATGCTGAAGATTGGGTATATATGGCAAGACACTGAGGAAGTGGTTAGCTTTTCATAAGAAACGTAGCAGAAAACAAATAAAATGCATGCAAAATTTTAATATATAATTAGTAGACTTTTCGAAGTACGTGGAACGTATTCGAGATATTTTATTAAAGAACTAACTGATTAAGTAATCATACATACAGCGACACAGAATTTCTCATTTCTAAACCTGATTCCTTATTGTTGTAATTTATGAAGAAGGCAAAACCAAATGGAACATATATTACTCACTTACTTACGCTTGTTACCCCCCAATGGTCCATAGGCCGGCAACTAGTATTCTCCAAACTACTGTGTCCTGAGCCTCCATTTCCAATTCTGTCCAATTTTTGTTCATTGTTCTCATATCTTTCTTCATTTCTTGGTGTAATATGTTTCTTGGCCTTCCTCTTTTCTTTTTACTCTGAGAGAGATTCCAAGTGAGTACTTGACTTGTGACGCAGGTGGGTGCTTTTCGAAGTGTCTTATCCACTTCCACCGCTTCTTCTAGATGTCCTCCTCCACTGGAATCTGGATTGTTGCTACCCACAGTACATTGTTGTTGATGGTGCCTGGCCAACGGATCTGAAGTATTTTGCGTAGACAACCGTTAGTGAATATTTGAATCTTCTGGATGATGGCTTTGGTAATCTTCCAAGTTTCCACCTAATACAGTAGAACTCTCTTGACATTTGTAGTAAAAATTCTGATTTTGGTATTAGTTGATAGTTTTCAGTTGCAGATATTTTTCAATTTTAGAAATGCAGCCCTTGCTTTGTCGATCCGCGCCATCACATCTGCATCGGATCCACCTTGATTGTTGATAATGCTGCCTAAATATGTAAAGCTTTTAACGTCCTCCAAGGCATCTCCATCAAGAGTGATTTGGTTGGTGCATGTTGTGTTGCATCGTAGAATCTTGCTTTTCCTTTATGTATGTTGAGACCTGCTGCTGCTGAAGCTGCTGCTACACTGGTCATCTTCTCTTGCATTAATTGCTGCATGTGCGATAGAAGAACCAAATCATCTGCGAAGTCCAGATCGTCCAGCTGCATCTTGGTTGTCTACTGTATACCATGCTTCCCTCCAGATGTCGACGTTTTCATAATCCAATCGGTCACCAGGAGAAAGAGAAAGGGTGAGAGTAAGCAACCTTGCCTGACATCAGTCTTCACTTCGAAAGAGTATGTCAACTGTCCTCCGTGCACGATTTTGCAGTTGAATCCATCATAAGAATTCCGTATGATGTTAACTATTTTCTCAGGCACACCGTAGTGTCGAAGAAGCCTCCACAGTGTTTTCCTATCCACGCTATCAAATGCTTTTTCGTAGTCAATGAAGTTGATGTAGAGTGGTGGATTCCATTCAATTGATTGTTCTACAATGATCCGATATGTTGAGATTTGGTCGGTACACAATCGATCCTTACGAAATCCAGCTTATTGATCTCGACGTTGGGCCTCCAGAAAGTACTTCATTCTGTTTAGTATCAACCTGTTGAAGACTTTGCCTGGATCTGAAAAAAGAGTGATGTCTCTGTAGTTCTGACACTTGCTGAGATAATATTTCTTTAGTATTTTGACGAGATATCTTTGTTTCCAGTCTGTTGGTACTTCTCCTTTATCCCAAATCCTTTTGAAGAGAGTGTGGAATGTTTTTGTAGTTGCAGCCACGTCTACTTGCACTGCCTCTGCTGCAATGCTGTCTGGTCCTGCCGCTTTACCATGCTTGATTTGTCTGATGGCCATACTCATCTCTTCAATTGTTGTTGGGCCAACACTGATTTGGAGGTCCGTGTTTGCTGCTTCAATGTGGGGTGGATTTATTAGGGCTGGTCGATTCAAGAGTTCTTTAAAGTGCTCTACCTACCTGTTTCGCTGTGCTTCAATGTTGCTGATTACTTTGCCTTGTTTTTCACTGTTCGTTCTGGTTTACAATAATTTCCAGAGACCTTCTTTGTTGTGTCATACAATTTTCTCAAGTTTCCTTCTCTTGCAGCCTTTTCCGCAGTCATTGCCAGGTCTTCCAGATATTTACGTTTGTCGGATCTGATGCTCCTCTTCACTTGCTTGTTTGTTTCTAAGTATTCAGATTGTGCCTTGGCTTTCTCTGCTCTTGTTCGGCTGACATTGATTGCTACCTTCTTGTTCCCCCTTTCTTGAATTTTACCAACAGTACGAACAAAGATCCGTTCTTTGTGATGGTACTTCTTATGGCTCAAAACTACATGACATGTTGAAGTGATTGTCTCCTTGATCTCTTCCCAGTAGTTCTCCATCTCTCACCATTTTCCCTGCTTCCTCCCAGCCCATGTCGTCCCATAATATCTTCATAGCCAGTGTTGTCCATGTTATCAATGACATTCAGGTATCCCGTCAGAAAAGTACGACTGACTGCAGCCTCTCGTAGAATTGATCTTCAACAACTTCATTGCAGTCGTTGGTAGGTGCATGACAGTAGATGACGTTCATTGTAATGCGCTGTTTGTTTGTTTTGAAGGGTGCTTTGATGATCCTGGGTCCATGAGATTCTCATCCCATCAGTGCCTTTCGTGCTTGTTTGGACAGCATCAGTGCAAGTCCTTGTGTGTGTGAGGAATTTTCTTCTTGATGGCCGGAGTACAACAACAGCTCTCCTGAAGCTAGTCTTAGTTGTCCAACCTGCGTCCAATGCGTTAAATCATCTGATATGATGATACGTGATACAGTGTCTCCTCTTCTCATAAGGAATCGGAAGCAGACATGAAAAGAATGAACAGTAATTGGGTAGAACTGGAAACGAAGGCCTTGGACAGAGCGGGTTGGAGATTCGTGGTCGGCTGCCCATGTTCAGTGAGAGATAGCAAGCGTAAGTAACTTCAGTCACCTATTTGCAATCCAAGCAAAGTAATCACTGTTTTCTCTCAAATTTCTTCTTTGAAATATTCTGATCCTGTCTCACACTTCCACCTTCTGACATTCTCCTTTCTGGTAGCAACTCTTAGGCAATGCTCCGCTGCATACTATTTATAAGCCTACTTCATGAATTGCACTCATCACACTATTAGTCTTAACTGTATTTAGTAACACTAACTTCTGAACAAAGTATAAAATGACTAGTGCATTTTTTCCGGTTTAGACAATTACCTTCATGATAGATAGTTACCAATCAGAATTTATTTTCATTTATTAAATTTACCTACTCATGAGTAACAAAGATGTGAAAATTAGTGAAATGCTGTCTACAGCAGAGTTTCAAAGAGAATGAATATATGTTACGGTAAAATTTAGATAACAGTGATGATAGGAGAGAGGAAATAATGAGTAGCCTAGTTATGTAAAATAATTGTCATCAAATATAAACCCAAACGAACCTGATTAATAATAGCCTTTTGAAGTTGTTGTCTTTCCCATTCAACCTCTTGATCACTGTCACGATCACTACCATGTTCAGCTGCCATGAAATCTTCTCGAATGCATTTTAATTCTTCTTCACGACGATTCAAGCGAGCACCTATAACTGCTCGTCTACTACAAGTTTCACGATCTTTACTGGCAACAAAAATTGGTCCTTTCTCACTGGCAGAATTTGAAAATGAGACAGCTGTTATATCGTTTGCATCTTCATCGTAATTTAACTCATCATCGTCATCATCTTCTCTGAATAAGAAATAAGACGGTAAATAATTTGAAAACAAATGAAACTGTTTGAAATTGTTTTCCTAAATAATTCCTTAATCATGAAAAAAGATGTTAGTTAAGGCACAAAAAGACTTAGTCTTTTTTTTATCTCCTATTTAAAACACAAACATTGGTAATAGTAGGCAACTAAATCTTAATTCAGTCAGTCAGATGCAACGTAGAACTTTGTACATAAGTACATCAGTTCATGTTGCCATACCACATCAGCACAGAGAAGTAATCGTCAATTCAAATCCAATAGTAGAAGAGGTAGTAAGGGAATTAGAAATAATCGGAGAGGTTAGGATTAGAAGATACTACTCAAGAAGTATGATTCAGTGAGAAAAGTTTAGAGAGTCGAAACTAGAGGGGTTGAAGAATCCAGAAGATTAGGATTTGAGAGAACACAGAGAATAAATGCACTGGCGCCATTGCGAACGATTTTGAGCCATGTCATTCAAGGTCTCTAACCATCGATTATTATCATCTCGCGGACCCCAACCAGGTAGTCGACAATTACCGACATGGCTAAGTCCACTAGTCAATGACTTCATGGATTTCTGCCATGTTTTGGTTTGGCCGCCCCTAACTTTCTTCCAAACTAATCCTACACTACAAAACAAAGCTCTTCGAGGCAGTCGGTGGTTCGGCATACGCAACACATGTCCCAACCATCTCAACTGGTGAAGTCTCAATACTTCATCGATTGATCTGCCATTCTTACCTAGCACCCGATTCCTAATAACAGCGTTGCTCACTCGGGTGTCCCACGATATACGAGCAATGCTTCGAAGACACCTATGATCGAAAACCAGTAACCTACGAATATCTTCTACTCTCACTGGCCATGTTTCACAGCCATAAAGTAAGACGGAGCAAACTACTGCGCAATACACTCGTCCTTTAGTCAGCAAACGGATATCTCGCCTACGCCATAAGTGACGCAGGTTGGCAAAAGCCAATCGAGTTTTCTGTATCCGAGCTGAGATTTCGTCAGTCACCAGGCCATCGGCACTGATGAGACTCCCAAGATAAGAGAAGCGGTCTACACGTTCAACCACTTCACTCCCTATCACTAGTTCAGGTGCCAATGCAACCCAGTCTTGAAGCAACATTTTGCATTTCGAGGGGGAAAACCGCATCCCGAACATGCTTGCATTGTTGCTTATGGTAGTCAGAAGACTCTGCATTTTGTCAGCGTCTTCACCAAGTAGGACAATGTCATCGGCATATTCTAAGTCAATAAGCGAGCCTCCTGGTAGAAGGTCTACTCCAGAAAATTCAGACGAGGATAATGTTATGTCTAGGAGCATGTCTATGATAAAATTAAACAAGAATGGAGAAAGTGGACATCCTTGACGGACACCACTTGATGTAGAGAATTCCGGTGACAGTTCGCCATAAGCCCTCACTCGACCAGTGGTGTTCGAGTAAAGGGCTTGTATAAGGTTAATGTACTTCTTTGGTACACCTTTCAATGACAGACACTGCCACAGAACCTCACGATCAACAGAGTCAAATGCCGCCTTAAGGTCTAGGAAAACAACTATTGTAGGACGCCTAAATGTGTGTCTATGTTCCAGGACCTGTCTGAGTGTGAAGACGTGGTCTATACAACCACTTCCAGGTCGGAAACCAGACTGGTTTTCTCTAGTCTGCTCTTCACGAGCTTTCGTTAAGCGTCGAAGTATTATTGAGGCTAATATTTTAGATACTATATTAGTTAGACTTATTCCTCTGTGATTGTCACAAGAAGACTTTTGTCCTTTCTTATAGATTGGGACAATCAAGGATTGAGACCAGTCGGATGGGATTACGTCCAGTTCCCAGATTTTACCTAAGATCTCAGTCAATCTAGCTGCTAAAACTGGACCACCATCCCTGAATATCTCAGGGGTCAGTCTATCAGGACCTGCAGCTCGTCCTCGCTTCAGATTTCCTAACGCTTTCTCAACGTCATTAAGACTAGGGGGACTTACGTCGATTTGCCATTCAGGATGACTGGAGATCGTGGGTAACTGAAGAGTGGCTCGTGGCCAGTTGAACTGATCCCTAAAGTGTTCTGCCCATCGATCCAGCCTCCTGGATTGAGAATGGATAATAAGACCATCCTTTTCCGAGATAGTCTCACTCACATTCGGGTTCTTAATACCGGTTTCTTTGATAAGGCGGAAAAGTTGTCTAGTGTTGCCTATCGCCGCTGCCTTTTCCATCGCTTTTGCTTTCGCCACCCACCACTGTTCGCGGTCGTTACGCAGACTTTTTATAAGTCTGCGCCTAAGCTGACTACGCTCTTCATCATGTTCAGAGTCCGGTGGGATGCGTTTTCGAGCATCCATCAGTTCGGTGGATGCGACTGAAATCCACGGCTTCATCCTAGCCTCATGGTTTACCTTCCTAGCAGATATCACTGCTGTTTCCACAGCCTTTTTGATATCATACCAACCTGCTTCTGGATGGGAATCGCTTGCATCGTTGCTTAACTCTCTTTCTAGTTGCTCCTGAAATATTTTCTTGGTTTGATTATCATTAAGTAAAACCCTAAGAGGCTTTCTTACGGTGTCTTTCCTACGTCCAGTAAGCCTTAAACAGATACGAGCTCGCACTAGAGCATGATCTGAATCCAAACATGTGCCCCAGAACCCCTCCATCGGTGGCTGATGGCGATGTGATCTAGTTGAGTCCAACGTTGAGACGACTTTGGAGGTCGCCAGGTCAACAGATGCTTTTCCTTATGCCTAAAGTTGGTGTTCGCTAAGAATAGGCGGTTATCTGAGCACAGTTGCCTAAATCTTAATTTGTCGCACAATAAAAAAATAATTGTGTAGGTGCTCAAACTGGACGACGTAACTTTTTTAAGGAGCAACTCTTAAGATTTTGACCCACAGGTCTGATTTACAAGGCAGTAGAGCAGCATCAGTTGTTGCAGTCCCGTAGTAATAGGTCATCAACAATAAGTTTTCATACGCCATTTATTTCCTCACGACTGTGGAATCCATATGCAACAATAATTCGCGAACAGGTTTTTCCAACTGCTCTAGTTAGATTCTTCATGAACACCAGCTTGACTTAAGCCCTGGTAGAAACACTTGTCTTTTCCTCACAATTTTGTAAATATCCGTGTTACGAGAAGGCATTGAAGAAGACTCTATTGGTAGTGGCTATATAAGCATGGCCATATGAGAGCATTTGGAAAGCAATAGAGGACTCTCCCCACTCTTGGCACTACTACGATATTTGAGAACTCAAAATACTAACCAATTTCGTCACCCGTTAGGAATAATTATATACTAAAAATATTATACAAAAGCAGATTTTACGATACGAGTTGCGGTAAAATAAGTGTAAGAGGGACATTTTGTTTGTTCACAAATGAGTCTAACAACAATATAAGTAAGTATATGAAAAAAGAAATATTTTTTATATAAACTAAGATAAACTGACTGCACAGTATATGCAGTAAACATCTGCAGTTGATATTACTTAATTATTCAACACTCCAACAAAAATAAAGCTTGTAGAACTTAGGTAAAGCGGTGCGCAAAATTCACATTTGAGAACCCCATCTATTTGTTTGATGTCACAGTTGGGGATCAAAATAAAAACCATTCAGTTATTTGGGAATTTAGTTTTGAAACACTGCTATTGTCCAACCAAAAATTGACGACACTTCGTAAAAATACAAATAAGTGGTTAAGGTGCTTAACTCACTAACGTTAAGCTGTGTACATGAAGCATTGAGATACTTTTTTCTTAGCACTTAGCTGACGGTTTGTCAAAAAAAGATACCAATCTTGATCATCAGAGCCTACGTGATTTACCTCACTAAACGTCTCCCATCATTTTTACTGAACGAACAGTAGGTAGGTGAATGATCAGTTGACTCAATAAGACTTTTAGCTTTCTCACGTTGTTTACGAGCTAAATGAATTGTTGCCGCATCAGGAATTACACCATCTGTGTGAAAATCAAATAACAAATATGATGCATACGCTTTATCATTGAGGTCACATTGTTCGGCTCGGATTTAACAGATGGAACTACTTCATGAGTCGCTTCGTCTTCAGCCAAATCCAATAACTCTTTTCTTAGATTCTAAGATAGATTAATTACATTTAATTATGGACTTAGTACAATATAATACCTCAAGATTTTCTTCAGGATCAGGAGAGCTTTCATCATACGAAACCAAATCGTTATGAAAGCCACCAACTATTTTCAAGCCATCGTTTTCATGAGTTCTCTTTTTTTTACTTTCTTTGGTTTGTTTAGTAATCTTGCGACTCATTGAAGACTTTTTGACTTTAAATGTATCACCATCGTCTACAATATAAGGATCACGAAATTAAGACACTTTTTTCTTTACCTGGGTCGAGATCATCTTCAAAACTTAAAACGCTTTTATTCTTTTTAATTGATGGGGTATTAGATTTACTCTGGGAAGTTATTTCTTTAACAGCAGCATCATACAGGCTTTCGGACTCCTGATTTTGCTCTTCATCTGAGTCACCCGCTTTGTTCCTGTAGTTCCGTCGAATTTTTTTCATAAATAGGCTACACATAGTGAAACTGAAAGCCAAAACATATGACACGATAACTATTTAAAATTTGTCACAAGTGGCATACAAAAAACATGAAGATTCTGATTTTTAGAAATGGGTGACATATCGTAATCACCCAGTAAAATTTAATGAAAAAAACCTGGAAACATTTATTTTCTTATGAATAAGAATACCACTATTCTTTTTGGTTAGAAATTGAAGCAAGAACTGTAAACAAACGGAACAGTACATGTGGTATTTTTAAAGCCTTTAATTCTGTAGATCAATATGATCGTCTTAGATAACGTTTATTTTTTTAATGGACATAAAATGTGAAAATTGACCAATTAATTTCAGCAAATAGTTGTACAGGCTACATAGGTTTACTACTAAGTTCAAAGGGGAAGATTTGACCCACGATACCTCAACAAAAAACTTTTTCATTGACGTGCTTTTAGACACGACACTTTCATCATCTGACTATTCAGGAGATTCGCTTGTTGACCTAGAATATGCTGATGACGTAGTTCTGTTTGGTGAAGACACCGACAAAATCTAGTCTTGTGACCACCCTACTTAACAATACAAGTATGTTTCCGGATGCGGTTCTATGCCTCAAAATGCGAAATATTGCTTCACAATTGGCTTGCATCGGCACATGAACTAGTGTTAGGAAGTGAAGCAGTTGCGTGTGTTGAACGCTTCACTTATCTTGGGAGTCACGTCAGTGCTGATGGTCTGGTGTCTGACAAACTCTTAGTATGGATGCAGAAGGCTCGATTAGCTTACGCCAACTTGTGTCACCTATGGCGCAGGCAAGATATCCGTTTGCTGACCAAAGGACGAGTGTACTTCACAATATTTCGCTCCGTCCTACTATCTGACTGTGTAACATGGCCAGTAAGAGTAGAAGATATTCATAGGTTACTGGTTTTCGAATATAGATGGGATTGGAATTGACGATTGTGCCTATGTGCTGATTTGGCATAGCTACGTATGTACGAAGTTCTACGTTGTAACTGACTGACTGACTGAAAAAAACAAACTAGTGCACTATAACAAATCAACTTATAAAGGTACTTTCAAAGCCTGCACTAATCATTTAGTTGAGGCTATGATCAAAAACTACAGCACAATCATTGATAGCTTTGATTGAAGGTCAGATTCAGTAAACAGTTGCATGACCTTCCATTATCTACTTACATCGGCTTTTTCCATTCGGAATAGCTGCGCAATGTTTCTATATCTAAACGGTAAACTCGCAACTACAGTTACTTGCGTGCTTATTATGCATGGGATATAGAATAAAGCTATTAGGATTATTTTAGGAAGACAGCAGAGAACAAAAACTTGTAGGAAGGAACTTGATTTTCATCAAAACAATTAGAACTCATAGCAGAATGGGAAAGTGACACGAAGGTTGCAGTCATCGAGGCACGGAATCCAACCAAGAAGAGTTGCGTGGTGAGTCAGAAGTGAATTGCTGAACTCCACTGAGGTTTCAGTGCGATGTAGACTATCACATGATAGAAATAAACAAGTTGCTGAAGATCCAGGCACGAATTTCGGGATTTTTTTAACCAATCAGTCCATAACAAATGCCACGAACCCAACTAAATATGTTGTGAAATACAAGTCATGAGGTTAGAAATTACGTTCACTAATTCACACATGATCGTGCACTAGTAATCAATGTTTTTTCAGTTTTGATTAGAACCAGACCCTAATACTGTATTTTGAAAATAAAGACACCCATCGACGAAATAAGGAAATGATCATACTTCTCTTATCCTTTCATTATACACAAGTTACAAATTCAATAATTTTGATATGACTAAATGATTTTTACACCCTACTTGAAAATCTTGCGTGAGCAACTAACCAAATGATCAGAGAAGAGTCGGCGTTAATAACATGATACTGCATACGAAATTTGTCCCAAATAACATGTATAACCAAAAGCAAGCTTTTACCTACTTGTAACGTAAACACTCAAATTCAGACCGCTCAAATTGTCCAATATTTAAAATCCTTGTGATGAGCCAACATAAACTGACTGATTTCTCTGCTATTACCTTTGTTCGAATAAATTCAAGTCTATACCCTTATCGATGTCGAGTAGGTAACTGTTTAGTCACTTTATTTGACAAGTTTCAACCAGTTCGGAAGCAATTTGTGAGTTTATGTATCATTTAATATCCTTTTGACGATCTAGCCTAAACCTATTTATTTCTTTACACTCATCCCTTGTTCTTTCACTACGGTTCTAGGAATATGGTACTGTTCACTTACGCGCAACTTTCTGTTTGTGTTGCTTCCATTCTTCGTTGCATACTGCTCTTCATTTAGCCCACTTTATCGGTGTAATTTTGGTGTTTTTTCGGCACCGCGAAATCACCAGCAAATAGATTCTTTACCCTGGATTTATTTATCTTTTCGTTGACGGGCTCATAATTAGTATTTAGTGGTGATCATAGTCAATCACAACTCGGTCACTCACTAATTATTAACCGCACGTTTGATTATTTTTAGGTTAGTAAGTTCACTGAAACTACTAAAGCAGAGGTTCACTGCCAAATGCCAATTAAGCTGAAAATTTTCGGGGTATAAATCACTGTTACACTATATTTTCCAAAACTGTGGACTGTCCATTTACGTTTTGGAATTTTCACTTGTCATAAATGATCTAGTTTTTCGATCAATTTCCTGAATGAAAACACATTAGTTCGGTTTCCATTTAATATGATAAAGCCTACTGAAGAATTAATTTAGCTATTTGAATGTTTGTCTTTGATTCATTTACAGTATGGAAAGAAGTAAATCCACATAATACGATGGATTAGTCGATACATATCAGTATCCTAGTGTGCTAACTTGTTACAGTAGCACTTAACATATTACCACAAATCATCGGAATTTCTTGTAAGCGTGCTCAAAATAGGAATTAGGACTAGTAGCAGGGTGGAAAGTGGCAAAACGAAATGAGAATATGCGAGGAAGTACCACGATCGGACTATTTGATACTATGTTGTAGAGGTACAACTATCAAATGCATCGTTTTGGTATTAGATGTCTTCTCATCGGCCTACTGATCAATCCTAAACTCGAAGTTAATGAATAATCTATCTAAAAAACAAATAAATAAAACATGAAAAATTAATACATTGTTTTTAGAAAGTTATTGGATGAAATGTACAATTACAAGTCATAACTCCCCAGGGCTACGTAAATGTTTGGTCGCTCAGACAGCACTGGCAATCTGCATTCTGAGAACGAATATGTACCAAGACTGAAAGTTAATAAAAGATTAATATCAAAATGTACCTACGTAAAGTCGGGTTCGTCATTTAAATCTATTAATTGCTGTTAAAGGCTTGATTTCGTGATGACCTCATTTTATAACCTGTTATACAACTGCGGATACAAAACGTGCTCGCCTAATTGAAGTAATAAAGCAGGAGATTGGAAAAAATTAAAAATATATGAAATACTGGTGAATATAATTTATTTAAGCTCATTTTGATGATTGATGAAGATTTAAGACTGTTCAACAACGAAAACGACGATTTCACTTACTCAAGCTTTGCAATCGTATTTCTAGTTCATTTTCAATTTAAATAATCTTGTGGAACTTCGGAGGAAGAATAGTATTTCGAAAAAATGTTTCTTGATAATCCAGAACTGAAGAGAGATAACAGAATGAAACCACGTATATGAAAATGACCATCGTCTACTTAATGAACATGAGAATGATGAAAAGTAAGACGATAACAATATGAGTTGTAAAACATCAGAAGACCAGAAATAAATTGTCGTTTAAGATAATTAAATTTTAGGGTCAGAGAATAATGATGACTAGTACGTGTCGCTTGAGGACATGGATATCTGGCACCTTCTCAGTCCATAAGTTAATAATCGCGCTCCTCACAAACTGGATTTTATGACTGCTTAGACGCTTTTTAAAGAATTATCAGGTGGGGTCATATGAGAGGAGTTCAGAATATGTTTTAATACTGAACTCTTGGCAGATTACCATTCACCATGAGAAATCCAAAGAAAATAATGTTTGGAGATGTACTTCGGATGCGCTTGCACCCAATTCAACCTACTTCACAAAATCAAGTAACTTTTTACATGGACATGAATGTGGCATGGAATGAGAGTTTGCGGGTGGAAGGGGCAGAGCAAAACTTAGCAGCATAAAATTTTACCCTCAAATATTTCATTAGGTGACTCTTCAGAATGTCTGCATTAGTATTTATCTTGAATTCAATGCTCATAGAGAGAACGCTCTTAGGAACTGTTTATAATTGTAATTTAGGTTCTATGTCATGCTCTAAATCTTGGACGGATAGTTGATTACCGGAATGGCTGTTGGAGTTTGAGTTGGCCATCTTAACCAAATACTATGGTCAAAAGAAGATTTTATTTGTTGTTTCATCCTAATACATTTTCAATGACACCCTAGGTTACTTTTGTTGTTCTTAAAATTGCTGAGATGCTGTTATCCTTAGAAACCGGTAATTTTACGTGGCTGATGTTAATCTTATTACGGTGAGGATTTTGTATAACTCACATAAGAAATTGGTTTATTTACACACTACAAGTATTTACAAACCATCAGTTATCAATTAATGTTAGGAAAATATACCTGGCGCCTTTCAGTCGATACTTTCTAACAGAAATGAACTTGATAACCTATTCCACTACGTAGACGATTTACAGGCAAAGCACCATGGAAAACGTTTCATGGATCACTGCTAACTTATGAATGCCATCCGAGAACTCAGCTAAGTAACTGCGCTTTTCGTATTCACTTTTTGGGAATGTCGTATCAAACTGATTGTTTTGTAAAACGGTGTGAACCTGCTCCATTGTTAGTAACGTAACTGACAAATCTATTAGAATAAGTGTGGTAGCGATTTTAAAAACTTGATCTTGCCTGAAAACTAATATGCCTCATACCACACACACTCAATTTTGAATAAGCATATTATTATTAACACAGCTAGGATCGCCAGTGATGAATGTGGACTTATATTTCATTTATAGAATAGTTACCAAGATTGTAGTTCGTGCGAAGGAAGTAGTTTTGTCAACAGAACACGCATAAGTACTCTATGTCCTATGAATCCGAATTACTCACTTAGGAAGTTATCTATGAATCCTCTTTGTCCATTCACGTGATTGGTGCCCAAATCTCAGGGCTCCTGTGGATATTAAACACAATTTGTCACTCGTGTGCTTAACAAAATATGGATGGTGATATGAATGGATTTCTACCGTGGCAGTTCAATTGGGTTCCAGTAAGTGCAATTTGTACGCGTATCTCCCAGTCCAAGGTCCAAAAAATACAACAATTCTAGGAGAAAACGGTCTATATTAATTAAAAGATGGAAATACAAAGCAGTACCTGGAATTGATGCACTTTCCAGGTCGCAATTACTCCGAAGAGTATCCAAGACAAAGATGAATAAGTGACGTTAAGTCCAACCGCCACCGTATCAATCCAAATATGGCTGTGGCCATATTAAAGATCAAATTTAAACAACATATATACAGTTCAGAAGCAAACACAAAAACTTCAATGTAAGTACAAAATATAGAAATGATAGCAATATACAATGATAAAATCTCAAATTGGAATCAAATAAAATACCAAAAATGTCAACAGAAAGAGTCCGTCATGTCATAACAAAAATATGTAAACATGGAGGGATTTTCCAAAAAACAAAACATTCAAAAAGGATTCTACACCGGCCCGCAAAATCCCTCCATGCAAAAAGAGCAAGCGTTAATGACACTTCAATTTAGGGTTCCCACTCATCGCCTAATCCACACCGGAAGAACGTGTAGGACTTACAGCAGTACGCCTACCCGCCCTCCAACATGGATATGACCTATCAAGCTAACTAGGTACCTATACCTTCCCATCAGGCCCTTGATTCCCCTATCTATCGTAGCATGACCTAACGGTAATATAAACCTTACCCAATTAACCCACACGAACATGTACAACACGTCGTAAAGCTGGTCATATCCTATCCGGGAACTACATTCCATATCATGGGGATGAGTCGTCAATCCACCACCACTTGCTCCGATCAGCAGATACAATGAAGTCCGTGATGCTGACTTATCAACAGAAGTTCTTGACCCATAGATAATATGCAAGGGTGGGATCTCCAATTTTGATATTTCCTCGTCTCCCGAAGACTTTAAGTGGCATAACATGGGACCAATATTTATCTCTCCATCTCCTGATACAGAGGAGGTTTGATCAGCATTCGTCATCGTCGGTAACTCATTTGTCACATCAGTGACATCCAGATTATTATCATCGTCATCATGATTCCATTGCGTCAGACAAGTCGCGTCGTTTCGGTCTGCACTAGCATCCGTAGAGTGGAACTCTTCCATTGTTGTATAACTCATCTCGCTACATGAAAGAACAGCATTAGTGTCACAATCCAAAGCCGATAAACTCACTTGTTGTTCTCCATGTTCCGTTTCAGAGACACACGACATATGCACGTCAATAGCATAGTTATCATGCAACACTGTAGACTGACTGTTACCATCAGACGCTTCCTTCTCATCATCACTTGACTGACAGTCAACCGAAGTAGGAACACTTACAGTTACACAACCTTGTGTATCCTCAATCAACTTAACATTCGCGACAAGGTCCGATGACGTCGAAACACTAGAAGGCTCGTTCGATGAAGTTGATCGACTAGTCACTATAAGTGGACTGCTCACACTTTCTGTCTCCTTATTATCGCTGTCACTACTAAGATTCTGATGACTACTATTTCCATTGCTAGTCATAGCATCCGAAAGAGAATGATGTTTAGGCTTCTTAATAATAGTAGCATCATGTTGTTTCCTAGGCTTCTTAGCCTTTACAGTACCGCCATCACTTATCCTAGAATCTACTCTAGGTCCCGTTATATAATTTACCCTAAGTGAAGGGTTCCGAACATAGGCTTTATTCCGTCCAGACAATCCTGCCTTGGCCTTATTCATATTTACTGAACTCATTAACCTCTGTTTACTCGAATCCAAATAACCGTTCCAGGCTTTTCGAGCAGTTAAGAGGCTTTTATCATCACACACTTCGGATCCATCTTGATGCCTACACTTTTCACCTTTTTCTTTCTTTTCCATACTTAAAAAAGCCATCTTATCTGTTACACAAACCGGCTTCTTACTGGGATACGCATCAAGAGGTTTTACATCATCACGGTCACATACTCGGCCTTCAACAGCGTATACTTTCCTGATACAATTGACAACTCTCTTATATTCCGGGCGTGAGTTAGGTAGAAACGAAGAATCCTCATGTCTCGCACGCAGACCACTAGTAGCTTCCGTATTATGTCCTGTTTTAGCCCGATAAGCTAATCTTCCGAACCTACTACTAGCTATCTTAGCACGAGACATAATAAATTCCGTCAACTCATTGAAATTAGGCTCTCTCTCCTCTTCGTCCCACTTGATTCCCAGCTCTGCCCACTGGGCTTGCATTCGACGAGGTAAGAGCCTGACTATTCGTTCTAAAGTAACCAGGGAATGAAGTTCCGTTGTACAATTTAGCTGTTCTAAGGTTAAAGCAGCATTCTGCATTTTAATAGCCAAATTCGTCAATTCTTCAGGATCATTAAAATCTGCATTCCCGGTTCTAAATAAGTCCTCTAAGGTTTCCCGGGCTATTACATGCGACTGTCCAAAGAGCTGTTTTAAGATGGCCTTAGCTCTCTTATATCCCGCTTGTGGATCCATTATAATACAACCTTCAATCGCATTTTTTGCCCTTCCTTTACAATAGTGAATTAAATACAATAAACGCAAATTTTCATCTTTTATTCTGGGTTCTATAAACGTTTCAATTTGGCGCATAAATCTAAAGTAGTCGCGAGACTTTCCATCAAAAAATGAAAGTTCGACCTTAGGTAGTTCTAAACCTACTATCGGTGTCCTAAGTATCTGATCCGTCTCTGGTACCTTAGAACTCTCACTTAAGCCTTGTTCCTTAATGCCTGCCAAAGGTGACTTACAATAATAAGTATCAGACATAACATCGTTATTAATAAAGTAGGAACCCATTAAACAAGCATCATTAACGACTTGCCTAGCGTTTCGGGGTCCTTCAAGCTCTTCCACCCTCCTCGTGTTTGTTTTCTTGCGGTGGATCATTTTTAAGTGAAGTTCAACGGAAGATAAATAACAAATACAAAATATAGGAATTCCACAGGTAATAAATATCCAAAATCAGAAAATCGTCTTCCAAAATACAGTTCGAATACAAAAATACGATAAGTAATCCAAGATTCTTCTTTCAAGAAAGTTAGTGTTATAAACGATTAAATTTCCAAATGTTTCTTTATTCTTCTTAATAATCCGACTGTAATTGGTCTTCTAATCAAAGGTCGAGCCACAATTCCAGACTATAAATGGATTTCTACCGTAGCAGTTCAAATGGTTTCCAATAAGTGCAATCCGAACGCGTATCTCCCAATTCAAGTCCAGAAAACACAACAATTCTAGGAGAAAACGGTCTTTATTATATTAAAAGATGGAAATACAAAGCAATACCTGGAATTGATGCACCTTCCAGGTCACAATTACTCCGAAGAGTATCCAAGACAAAGATGAATAAGTGACGTTAAGTCCAACCGCCACAGTATCAATCCAAATATGGCTGTAGCCATATTAAAGATCAAATTTAAACAACATATATACAGTTCAGAAGCAAACATAAAAACTTCAATATAAGTACAAAATATAGAAATAATAACAATATACAATGATAAAATCTCAAATTGGAATCAAATAAAATACCAAAAATGTCAACAGAAAGAGTCCGTCATGTCATAACAAAAATATGTAAACATGGAGGGATTTTCCAAAAAACAAAACATTCAAAAAGGATTCTACACCGGCCCGCAAAATCCCTCCATGCAAAAAGAGCAAGCGTTAATGACACTTCTATTTAGGGTTCCCACTCATCCCCTAATCCACACCGGAAGAACGTGTAGGACTTACAGCAGTACGCCTACCCGCCCTCCAACATGGATATGACCTATCAAGCTAACTAGGTACCTATACCTTCCCATCAGGCCCTTGATTCCCCTATCTATCGTAGCATGA